GTGAAGTTTGAGGTGTACTGAGTTGAACGTCAAAACGATGAGCAGCCACAGTCCGTCGCGTATTTTTTAAATGCACCGCTCTTGGTGGAATCAAGTCACTTGAACACCTCCCGTGAAAGAATCTATAAAAGAGAGAGAAATCTCCAACCTTTTTTCGATGTGCCAAGCTATCAAGGTTGCACGTGATATTCGCGTCTTCAATCGGGTGGATGGCTCTTTTCTGGATGGAATCCATACGTGTTATTTACGTGTTATTTACGTGTTATTACGTGTTATACGTGTTATTTGGGGTTGGTATGTACCTCAATGTAGCAGAGTGAGATAATTTTAGCGATAAATTTTATAAGAGTGAGTATCTGTTTCATTGTTTGTTTGTTTTGTACTACTTTGAAACTATTGCAGTTTATTTTTTTATAGTTACTACATAGATATTTTTTCTTAGAATACCCAAATAAAGGCTGGTCAGAAAAAGTTTTTCGAACTTACAAAATCTGAAGACATAGAGGAAATGCATCGCATTCTCTGCAAGTCTGAATCAGAGTTTTTCGGATCACGAGGAAGATGCCGTTATACCTGATTTTAGAGAGGAATCCGAAGAGGACAATATACGTGACAATAATTCCAATCCCACACTTTCTGCCACACCAGATCAGACTCAGGATACCTCGGCATCTGATGCGGACTCGGACGATGACAATATACCATTGGCAGAAATACAGGCGACTGACATAGATATAGTGTTCCTACCAAACTGAGGGGTAAAAATGAGTTTGTGTGGTCAGGGAAGAAAGGCACAATTCATCGTACACCAAAAAGAAATCTTGTCTTGCATTTACCTGGAAACAAACACGAGGCAAAACATATAAAATCGGGAACTGAAACTTGGAAATTATGTTTCACAAAAAAAAATCTAGAAGAGACACTATTGGACCAAGGATACAAACAGTGTTGAACTTCAAGCACTTTTTGGACTATTTCATTATACCGGTGTTATGAAAATGTCCGGAGTATTCAAGAAAGAACTATTTGATAAAGACACATGAATTCCTATATTTCGTGCGACCATGCCCGAGGCACGTTTTAGGTTTTTCGTAAACTGCCTCCGCTTTGACGATAAAGATAACAGAGCTCAGAGAAAAGAAATCGACAAACTTGCAGCTTTTCGAAAGGTGTTTGATAGGTCAATCAACAAAATGAAGGAGCTATATCGCACCCTTAGAATGAAAGTGACTGAATTCAAAAAATGCAGTTTGTGGTAAATGAGCAAGAAAGTTTTCAAAAAAGTATAGTATTGAATACATCTCAATTAATACTAGTTCTGCCTCTTTCACACAACATACATAAATGAATAGCGGGAACAGTAAAAGAGACCGAAACATGCGTTGTCCCTGTTATACTTAGAGATAGGTGACTTTTTCTTTACAGGGTTGTAGAGTTTGCTTTATAAGGTCAGTTTATGGTAAAATCGAGTATTACAGGAATTTTGAGTTGAGTCACTTTCATTCTAAGGGTGCGATATGTTCCCTCGGAATATATAACAATTAATGAACAATTGCTTGGTTTTAGAGGCCGATGCCCTTTCAAAATGAACATCCCTTCAAAGCCGGATAAGTATGGAATCAAAATTGTGATGTCTTGTGATTCCAAAACCGCTTTTGCCCTTGATGCTGAAATTTATATAGGAAATGGTTCCACACCAACCGATGTTCCTGTCGTTCAGTGTTACTGTAATAAACTAACCAATTATTTTCAAGGAACAAATAGAAATTTGACCTTGGATAACTGGTTTATTTCTGTTGACACTGCAAAACAACTTCAGGACAAAAAAATTACCGTTGTTGGTACTATGCGAAAAAATAAAAAAGAAATTCCTGAGTCGTTTTTGAAACTCAATAAGAGGAAAACGAATTCAGCTATGTTTCGCTACAGTGGACACCTGACACTGTTATCATACTGCCCACCTCTGAAGACTAAGAAAAAAACTGTAATTATGCTTTCGACAATGCCCGAAAAAAGTGATGAGCCATATATGACCATGTTACCAGAAATTATTCAATTTTATAAGTCTACAAAAGGAGGAGTCGATACTTTAGACCAACTGTGTCACACTTATTCTACTGGTAGAAAGACACGTCGCTGGCCATTACGTCTGTTCTATAATTTCTTGGATATTCTGGGATATAACTCAATGATTCTTCTGCGTGGCTCTGGTGAAGCAGATAAAGAAATTATTACCAACAAGAGAGAATACCTGAAAAAGCTCGCCCTTGAACTGGTCAGACCGCAGTTGATGAGTCGTTTGGGAACTCCAACTTTGAGGCGCGAAGTCCGCGAAACCATATGCAGGGTACTCAAGATAACTGTTCCAGAAGAAGTACCTACTAAACCACCAGCAACAGTGGGTAGGTGTGCTCTTTGTCCAAGAAGCGAAGATCGAAAATCAAGAGTAAGCTGTGCAGTGTGCAAAAAGTTCATTTGTTTACAACATCAAAAAAAAAATTGCTCGATTTGTGCCGAATGAATAAATCATAATATATTTGCATTAAAAGTGATTTTTTAAAGGCTTAGTTTGAGTTGTTATTCTCCTATAAGTAAATACATTTTTCCTTTGTCAAAAATACGACCTATTTTATTTGGGGTACGCCAGTACCCCTGGGTAGCATTCCAGGGTTAAATTGAACCTGGTTACTTTCACCCCAATTCGAAGTCACTTCTAGATCCTCATTAAGATATGCAACCTCCCGCTGCCGGTGAATATGTGCCTCCGTAGTCGATGTCCTGGAATCCAAATGGAATGACGAGACAAGTGTGCTGTCGTCAGCAAAGCAATATATTGGATTGGTTTTTTTTTGGATTTGGATTTGGTTTTTTCCAATAAGTCGTTGATATACAATAAAAAGAGGGTTGGAGACAATATGGATCCCTGGGGAACACCAGCGTTTGTGGCCATCGAGGGCTACTTGCAGGGAACGTTCTTTCAGGAAGCTGGAGAGCCATACACAGACATGATTTGACAAGCCATAGCATCAAAGTTTGGCCAGCAAACCTTCATGCCACACACGGTCAAAGGCCTTAGAAATATCATGACGCGTACGCCTATGGCTTGTGAATCCATTTATGCTCATTTCATCAGTTGTCTGACAAGCAAATGAATTTATTACGTTTATCCACGGTACATTCCAAAATGAGTACATTATTAAAAATAAACTAATAATTGACCATTTAAATTAATGTAATTGTTAACACTTATGCGATTTCTATAAATAACATTCGCCTAACGCATGATCCAGAAAAAATGAACAAAACTTCTTAGCGATCGGTGTTTGAAAATAAATTGGCAGCTGAAGAACTTTGTACCGTTTTTAAGAACAAAGATTTTCAGGAATGTTTGCAGCGTCTCAGATGAAACTGGCTGGAAATAAAGGAAAGTTTATATTTTCCACAAGTGTATCGTAGCTAACATTTTTATAATCAATAATCAATACTCATACATTCTGAAACGAACACGAAACCGAAGTGGTCAGCGTTCAAGAAATGATATGAGAAAAAAATGCTATCGATAGTTTGCATAACCTTGGAAATGAGAAGGGGCCTCTCTGATGGAGAATTAAATGCAATGAAAGTTATTTGGATGGCTTGGAATGAGAGTTTTCACGAATCTAACAAATATTTTTCAACTGTGTTGAGTAAATAATGAAAGTTGGTTTCGAATAACTCACTGAGCTTCGGGAGTATAATAACTCATTTTATAGAATGTAGTATGGGAAATTTCAAGCTATGGAATTGTGTAATATTTAGTTCTTTAGCATTGATTCAGCATTCAACAATTTTTTTTCAATATAAGGTATTTTTACTAGATATCCTACTATTTTTCTAGCCTTGATAGTTCTGATGACCACAAATACTCTGTTGTTTCCAATTTCTTTTCAGTATTGGTTTTTTTGAAAATATTAGTTGTGTAGCCTAAAAATAATAATTGCTGTCTTGCGTTATACCCCAGAGAACAATTCCATAACTCATATGTAAATAAAACAGGGAGAAGTATGTTATCTTCAATGTACTGCTATATGATTTTCAACTGACGAAGAATGAAAATAGATATAGGCAATTTATTAAAAAAAATTAATATTTGAATTCCAAGATAGGCCATTGACTATGAAAAGTTCAAGTATTCTAACAATCTCGTGTTCAGATCTGTGACTGGTATCACCAGCAAAAATAACCGAATTGCAGTTGTTTGACCACTTCACTAATGTATAACTATAATCATTCAGTTGATACATTTCAAAACGTCATTTTGATGAGTTATAAAAAGGAAAATTTTGTCGAATCTTACGGTTTCTGATTTTTCCATCCTGGCACTCTTCATTTCAGACAAATTGTTTACTCAAATACAAGTAGAAAGCCAAAAAGAAGTATTTCTTCATGACTCAGAAAAAAAAACACGAATAAAATGTTTAATTTCGTTTTTCACGGTCTGGTTATGAAAAACTTCTATGAAATGACAACCAAATAACCACGCCACTGGTTTTGGGGTATATCAAAAGAAACGCGATAAGAAACTAGATTTCTAACTCACTGATAAACGTGTGATATTTCAGGTTTGTTAAATGTAAACAGATATATTTAAAAAATACCAATGGAGAACTTTTGATGATTTGCATCAAAATTTTGTTTCGTGATGAATATACTTCAGAAACATTTGAAAAAATATGTTCGAAACTGTAAAACGAGAGTTCAAGAAGGAGCATAAACACATTATTCTTCGAAATGATTTTTTTTTAATCTACATTCGACAACTGTTGTTTATAAATGTATTTCCTGTTGGTTCTTCAGAAACACTGATAGGATGTGTGTTCTCCAAAAAACTCGTGAATTTATTCCTGATTCAACCCGACGATATTGTTTTCAAATGATTGAATTTGCGTAGATAAGGAAAAATCGTATTTTATAATCTTTGAAATGAGTTTATAGATTTGTTGGAGTAAACTAAGAGCTAAGTAAAAATATTCAACTCACCGATATTGACAATCCTAATTCCTTCGTCGTCCTGCAGGAACTTGAGGGCCACAGACACATTTTCGAGTTTTTGCGACCGGAACGAAGTTTTCTTGTTGTGTTTCGGCAGTCTTTTTCCAGACAGCACTTCGATCAGCGTGATGAGGCGAAGTCCATCACTGAGGTCCGTTTCCAAATTTCCAATGTGTTTCGACACCGTTTTCAAATGTTCGTTGGCCCATCTCGTGAATGTATTTTGTTGAATTTTCTTCCATTGTGCGTCCTCCGCCAACTCGCGCTCCGTTGTCACCATCTCGTCCTCGTCATCAAACTCACAATAGTCCGGACCGCGTTGCTGAGGTAGGCAGGGCTCGACCGGTCTGAAACCGGTGTCGGCTTGGTAGGGAAACTGGCTCATCCTCGAGACTCGAGACCGCTCTTCGGCTTAGCTGACCAACTCCAATCTAGTCACCTATGACCCCTGCAACATGTCGCACTATGGCTAATAAGGCACTACATCGCTCCTGCAACTGTAGCCGCTGCATTCCTGTTATGTTGTACTCAACATCTGCAGGATATGATGCAGGAAATACGAAATCGGCGAGATTTTAAAAACGGCAATAATGAAATTCAAAATATTTTACCTCAGTTATAGCACATATTGCATTCTCCTATACTACAGTGAAATTAGACTAAAATGCAGTAATTTATAAAAACTTTCAGGTTTTTTAAAAATAATAATACTAACGAGATTAATCATCCTCCGTTATTATTGAAGTAAAACTTCTTTACACGCGCTTGACTTGGGGAGTAAGCTGGTGAATGCGTNATATTACATTCAAATTACATTCAAAAACATATTCATCTAACCTAAACGTATAAAAATCGTATTAAGGCATTATTTAATTGTAAGTTATTGTATACATATTTGATAAATGGGTAGAACCCGTAATAGTTCGTAAAGAACTGTGGTGTAAATGACAGCAGTCTTCTTACATTATAAGAACTACAGTCCAGTGAAACTCGTGAACTGCATTTTTCCGAGTCTAGCAAATTATTAAATATCTTATAGATGAAAACTATGTCATATATGTCTCGAGTTGTAATTTGAGTAACTGAATTATAAAACTTCAATTTGCTCCAGTATGAAAATTAACGTCTATGCCGGAAACATCTGTAATTCATAATATTATTCACTTTTTTCTAAACGTATTCTAGGCGATTTAATGAACGTTAGGTATGTAGTTTCCATATCACGCTACAATATTCAATAATTGGTTTAATCATAGTATGGTACATCACTCGAAGCGAAGAATAGTTTTTGAATTCATCTGTACATCTATTCAAGAAACCTACCTACTGTTTTTAAATTTGTCTTAGACGATTTTATCTTCAACACTGTCATAAGACAATTATTTGGCTTGTGTAATTCCTAAATCATTTTATTTTTCAGTACGATGTACGACGGGCAGCATCCGACGTGTGAAAGTTATTTGATTTTATTTGTTCATATTTAGAGATAATCTATATGTTTGGCAAAAATAAAGAACCTGCCAATGTCTGTCTGAAAAAAATCATAATTTGACGACTTGGTGATTGGCAGAATATTTTCATGTCATCGGCATTCAATAGAATTTTTGAAAACTCGAAGCATTTTTCGAAGTCACTAATGCTAAAGAGTAGTGGCCCCAGATTCAAACCCTGGGGGACACTCTCGCTATACCAGATTAACAATCGTTTACTGCATCATGGTGATCCGTCTGCACCAAAATTTCTGACTCTTATCAACAAGATAGGATTATCAACTTTATAAAATGCTAACGAGTCGTTTACTATAGAAATATGGATTGAAATTTGCCCAAAAATTATTTAAATGAAGCAGTCGATGTTAAACTATGAGTAATTTGACTTCACATGAATGATTTTGTTCGTGCTTTCTTCAACCACATGTTCTACGTGGTTACTCGATCGTCTTTTTGGTTGCATTCAACAATAAATGCCCAGTTATTGGTCTCTAAAGGTGCAAGTCGTGTATAGTATAGAAATTTCAAAAGGCATAAAACTCTCGCCCATGGTATGAAAGAGGAGATTTTGTTTAATGGTCAGAACCATAAACGTAGATCATAAATAATATTGACATGTTGTAATCCTTCCTCTCGTACATTCAATGCTTGTCTACCAGACATTCTACCCCCTGAATATTATGAGATCAGAAAAAGACTTGGAATCTAGTGGGATATTGAAAGATGTTGAGGCTACCATAAGAAAGAATCGAGATCATCATAAGTTTCGCCAAGAGAAATAGGAGTTTATAATATTTGATGGAATTGGCCGATACTTATGAAAATCCATAACGTATTCAAGTACTACATGAGCTGAAAAGTCGTTAATCTCACTGCATTCACCGCTTTTTCAGTTAGCACAACAATCGGCCGGAAATACCTTCAACAGTGAATATTATATGGCGTTTGAAGGCCGAAATTGCGGAAGAAAAAGGGAGTGCTGCTTCATCAAGACAATGCACATTGTCACAAATCAATGAAAACGCTGGCAAAATTGCATGAAATGGGCTTCGAAATGCTCCCACATCCACGGTATTCTCCAGATTTGGCGGATAGGGGAACGGTCAGGGGACTGGAGGCCCTGTCCGGGAAGCCAATGTGGCCTTACGGACGGGGTCGCCGGACCCCTGGTCAGTGGCAGAAATAAGTAAGGTGAGGGGAACTAAAACCCCCAAAAGCCTTTGCAAAACATGCCATCGTGGATCAGCCTATCCAAGCTAAGGTGTAAGGAATCGTGCCGACAGCTGAATGGCCGCAGGGTGATATGCGGTTACGAACGATCCCCTTGGGGAACCGGGCGAAACCTCATTGTAATTAGCCTTCCTCTGGTAATGCGGAGCTCTACCAGAGGTGACCAACTCTTCCCTTGCTACTCGTGGGATCCTAAAAAATGGATCCTAAAAGAAACAACCAATCCCGAATCTGGACAGAAATGCTCACCTCAATCTAAGGCTGTGGCAGGAGATGAACAGAAATGTCCACCCCAATCTACCGCTTGGAATGAGGCTGGACATATCAGATCACCTCCAATAGCAAGGGCACTTCCTGCGGCGGAAGCCAAGAGCTCCATCTTGAATAAAGGCAAGGAACCGGCTGCCCCTGCAGGAAAGCTCCCTCACTTGTGCACCTCCACGGAGGCTCCCCCCATCCCCCCCTATGGCGACGGCCCTGGTGCTTATTATTTGTGAAATAAAGCTAAACGATTCATCACATATTCTTCTTTTATATTCTTTTATATATTAAATCTAAATCCTAGTTTCTTTATCCAATTCTGAAGAGTTTTGTCACAGCAGCTCACGTTATGGCCGAAAGTATTCAATTTCTTCCTTATGATTTCAGTCGTAGCACTCCATTGCTTTTGTAACAGTCGTGTATTGTTTTTTTCAATGATTTTATTAGATGACCATCTAAAGGTTTTGCTAATCCTGTATCACATCGCGTCTTGCGTTCATAAGGTTTGTTTTTGACTATTTTACGTACAGTAGAGATATGGAACTACAAAAATACATGACATTGAAACGGACAAAACTTTTGAAACAACCTGGAACGTTGGATATCTGAAGCATTTCCTGCACATTATAACTGCCATTTACGCCATAAAAATCAAATTGATATCTAAAGAGTTATCAACAAAATAAAACAAATCGGCACGCTAGACGAAGAAAGGTTGCAGTTGCGTTGGTTTTGTTTTATGTGGTGGAACTTTTTGAAAGTTGAAGTCGCATTTCTGTTTTTTGTCTTTAGGTATATGTACTCGGCTATTTTAAAATTACAATTGATATTTGTGGAACAACTGTTGTTTATTCGTTTTGAGTCAATTTTATCGGAGGTCATCATTATCAATTACAAGCTGATGCGACACAGACAGAAAACAAGTGTAGGCATATATGCTACTGCCATAACATTATTACTGAAACAGAATATGTGCAGAAGACTGAAGCAAAAAAAAACGAGAAAAGTATGCTAATAAGTTTCAAGAATGATTTTCAGTGATAATATGTAATAGCTCACACATGTCGCTAATAAGACACTAAATCACTTCTGCAACTGAATTCTTGCTAGTTGCATCTGTCGGTCATTCAGGAAATACGAGTATAATTTAAACGAGATAAAACTTTAAACCAATTATTGAACAGTATAATTCATTAGTGATTGGGACATTTCCAAAATAATAGTTCTGCTGCACTTTGTCAGAGGAAAATATTTTCTTATTGGTAAGTGGGATATGCTTGAAGACTGGCAAGTAAACAAATCTAAAGAAATTAACTTTAAACGTTCAAGCCAGTCTCGAATATACCTACGCAGTAGGTTGAATGGACTGACGCCTATCAGAAAACAAGTACTCCCCTGGCTAATACCACGAAGGGCGTTGGATTATATCCGACAGGCGTCAGTGCAGGAATCTTCACAGAAAATTTCCTGCATATGTAATTGGCAATACAACTGAAAGAGTCAACCTTCAATTTTGGAACGGGCATACCTGCAGACCGGTTTCGGGCTCATTAGCCACTCGTCAGTGCAAGATAGTGGCCATCATCGACCTAAAAGGTTTGTTCTGGTTCTAACATCCCAAAACGTTTGGAAACTGCGCAAGACATGGTGCGTACAAACAGAAAATCTCAAAGAGTCCGAAATAGTCTCTGACACTTGTTTAAACCAGAACGCTTTTGAGGAGACCACTGTGTCACCTATCGTATATATAAAGAGATGAAGAAGAGAAAATACTATTAATCATGTCCATTTTGTTATGTAGCTTATTCCTATAGTCAGCTCAAATGTTATCTACCCTCAATCATCAATTTTTCAAATAAAATAAATGAAAAAACATCCTAGCAAATAGCCCAAACAAATTTCCACATGAATGCGCATGAGCAACGGGAACAGTTCTCAACAGTTCAGCCTCGAGAGAAAGNGAAAACGATGGATCCATTTCAAAACAGTTTAGGATCATTTCGCAGTCAAAACCAGAACAGAGGATTCATCAGTCTGAAATTATCCTCAATAAACCAGAACGCTCTATATCAACTTCGCATGATCCTTACGTCCTAAAACCTGAATTTCGCAGGACCAGAACAAACCTATTGTCAATGATACTCCATAATTGAAAATCGGAATTCTTTGACAGTATTTCATTCCTCTTTCTAAGTTGGGGCGAACAACAAAATGTCACTCCATCTAGTGGACGAGGTACTAACCAACTGCATATCCGTAATTTGTCCGATTCCTCTGAATAAGGAATGAGGAAGACTCCAAGCATAACCCACTGGCTAATAAGAAAGTTTTTCTTCCTTATTCAGAGGAATCGGGCAAATTACGGTTATGCAGTTGGTTAGTACCTCGTCCACTAGATGGAGTGACATTTTTGTTGTTCGCTCCAACTTAAGAGGAGGAATGAAATACTCTGAAAGAATTTCGATTT